TGTTGAGTCATATCCAGCTTCTCGTCCACTGTGACCCCTAGGTCCTTTTCTGCAGAACTTTGGCCCTGGCTCAGGCAAACACTGGTGCATTCGAACAGGGCTCCACACACATGCAGCTGCAGTGTCTGGGCGATGCACTGGGCCCTGCCCGGAGTCTGCCAAACCAACAATAACCCCAAACCTGCAATTGGAAACCACCAGGTGCGGCAGGCTGGAGACCGCAATTCCCAGGGTATACCCAGACTGGGCTGGTAGCCAGTGACCGGCTGTCCTCACGTCACTCCTTGCTCATGCTTTCACCGTGACCGCTTTCACCGTGACATCAGCAACTCTCAGCGTCCATGCACGTCTCCCACTCCCCCGACATTTGCTGGCTAGCGACCCCGACCCTTCAGGGCTACCTCTGCTTCCCCACCCACTGCAGAACAGGGCCACGATCAAATGCTGCCTGACAGGGAACAGGGGACGGAAGTTATTTCTACTTTCTGCAATCGGGTCCGGGGCACAGTGACCGGAAGTTAAATTGCCCTGGTACGTTCTCTATTAGAGTCCAACGAGGAACAGTGAACGGAAGTTGTCTCGGTTGTATAACTGGGGGAATTGAGGAACTAGTGGAACGGGAGGGCAGTGGGTGGCCACGGACTGCGACCATTGAGAATGGGGGCGCCTGACAGGCATGGGGGGGAGGTCAGGGATGTGAGGTTCCCTGCTGCAAAGCAACAACCAGGAGCCTGTACCTCCTGCAGCGTCCTGTGGATGGTGCAGAGTGGCATGGAGACAAGGCAGGGAGACGATAACATCTCCCACAAGGGCGGGGCCCCTTCACAGCAAGCTTGGCACCCCTGCAGTAGTGTGGACCCCACCTGATCCTTCACCTGATGACCGCACTACATCACGGCAACTTCCGCTTCTAGCCTCACACGCCTTCGCCCTATAAATGGAAGTCAGGGCGGGCCCTGGCAGTGGCTGACTGGAGATGGAGGCAGCGGACACTACATCTCCCATGCTGCCCCAGGTCCCAGAGTGGCTGATGGGAGATGAAGGCCTAGTGAGACACTACATCTCCCATCATGCATTGCTTCACTCCTATCTCCCTGCCCTCACCGCTTCTCATTGCAGTGGCAGCTTCAACCCAGTTACTGAGCTTGTGGCCTTGGCATTGACCCTCCCCTGCCTGAAGCGGTTCTCCCCCCACCCCCAGGCTCCGTCGGGTTTGTAGTTGGGATCAGGGGCAATTGGGCAAATGGGAGGGTTGGAGGATTGCACTATCTTAGCTTGCCACCAGCAGTCTCTGCCACAATGGTAGTGGTGGGGGGGAGTGGTGGATACAAATATTGCATTGCCACACCTCTCCCATGGTGGGGGTGTCACTGCTTCAATTGGTGGAGATACACAGGGCAGTGCCACAACTGGCCACCAGAGGTCACTGTCCGAATGGTGTGTGTGGGGGGTATACACACAGGTCATTCCCTGCCCCCAATCTGTCTACCTGGGGTCGCTGCTGCAAGGTGGTGGTGGGAGAATGACACACAGGCACTTCCCTACATGGCCACCAGGGGTCACTGATCATGTGGGGACAGTACATACAGTGTGCTGCCCTAAAAGTGGCCATAAGGGAGCACTACTGTAATAGTGGTGGTGGGGAATACATGTAGGGCACTGCCTTGCCCGGCCACCAGGGTCACTGATGCAATGGTGGGAAGATACAAATAGGGCATTGCCACACACACATGCCTGAGGGCTGGATGTGTGTGTCACTGCACTAATTGGTAGAGATACACACAGGGCAGTGCCCCAACTGGCCAGCAGGGGTCACTGCCTCAATGTGGGTTGGGGTTGGGGATAACAAAGAGGGCACTGCCTCACATAGCTACCAGGAGTCACTGCCCAAATAGGGGACACACACACACACAGAGGGCACTGCACATATGCACACACAAGCTGGGTGGAGTGGGCTGTGTACTATTTTACACTTTAAGAAACAAATCAAATGCCATTGTTTGTCACAGAGTAATTTTATTTAACATAGAGCAGTCTTCACCAAAAATTTACAACCCCCACCTTGCCAAGCACCTGCCCAAAGCCAGAGCAGTCTTCCTACAGCAAAAACCCCAGAACATAGAGACCCAAAAGGAAACACTTTAATGTGAAGTAGTGAACCACCGCCTAGAGATTCTGGTGAGGGACTGTGGGGAAGCAGATAAAGTGCAACTAACTGAAATGGGTAAAATCATAATCCATCAGGGAGAAGAAGTGACTCCACTGGAAAATCAAACCAGCTCCAGACAACCTGGGATTCCCAGCAATTTGGGGTTGGAGCAGGAATTCGCCCCCTCCCTGACCTGTTCATTGTCTGCAAATTACCATGGAAGGGCAAGGTTAGAGAGCCCTGCACAAACACCCCAGCCAGATGTGACCAAATGCACCCCCCTATTTATACCCTACACACTATTGTAATAATCTTTGGACAAACTATGCCTTGTGTGGTAGCATTTGAAAAGTAGTAACTCACTGATTAATACTATCATGGTGAAATGTATGAAGCAACATTATATGTCAAGTTATGAAACTCCTCTTGTCAAATGTTAAAGGTGCACATTCCAACTCATATAGCCTAAATAGGTAGAACTGGTCAAGCAGGCCTGTCTTAAACTAAGGGACCTGTGTTTGCCTCAATTTGCATATCAGCTGTAAACTGAGTCCATGGAGGACAAGAGGGGGAAGAAAGAAGACAGAAAATCTGCGTTTCAGCATACATAGGTGAAAAGAAACAGCACAATGCCTCCTTCCTCTACCAGATGCCATGTCTCCTTGCTCTCAGCAAGAATGTACACCTCTACCTTGATATAACACTGTCCTCGGGAGCCAAAAAATCTTAACGCGTTATAGGTGAAACTGCGTTATATCGAACTTGCTTTGATCCACCGGAGTGTGCAGCCCCGCCACCCCTGAGCACTGCTTTACCGCATTATATCCGAATTCGTGTTATATCGGGTCATGTTATATCGGGGTAGAGGTGTAGTTTAACTAAGGGAAAGTGCTTTTCAAAGGGTGACTGAACTATAAAACTGAAGGTCAAAAACACCCCAAATTCTATCTCCCTAGCCATCTCTCTCTTTCACCTAAGATGATACAAGACACAGCCATTGGACTGAGGAAGCAGGTCCTGATCTGAGAGTTTGAGCAGCAATATTACTGGAAACTATGGGAAGGGACTTCACAAGCCTAGTTTGTTAAGTTTAGAAAACATTTTATCTTTATTTTTCTTGTAACTGTTTCTTACTGTCTCATTATTTTTACTCACTTAAATCCTCTCTTTGTAGTACAATAAACTTGTTTTATTCTTGAATCAAAACTAATCCAGTGTTGTGAACTATGTAGATAATTCCATTTACAGTGGCAAAATTTTGTATATTGCCTTTTTAGAGGTGTGACAGACCTAATATATCTGGCCTGTCTAGGAGATGGCTGGAAAGGACAGAACTTGTTTTTGGAGTAAAATTCAGGACAGGGAGTGTGTTGGGGTCACCCGCATGTGGTAGCTCAGGCTGATGGAAGCCAAAGCATGACTGCTGTGTGCTGCCAGGCTGCCAGGGTCAGAACTGCTGAGCCAGGGCCATAGCTCTACAGACACTCAGAGGGGGACCTGCACACTGGTATGTGAGCAACCCAAGGCAGAGGCTACAACAGTAAAATATGGAAAGGCACCCAAGCTTGCAGGGCAGAGCTGACAGCACTTCACTGGTCTGGATTACACCCTGAAATGTCATACCTGGCCGCTCACAAGAGCCTCCCCCATCTGTTATAGGGTTATAAAATGTTCCCCATCAGAATTTGTTACTTTGCTGTTGAGTGTGCTGAACATATGAAGTAACGGGCAAAAGGTAGGCATGAGCTGCGGGGGTGAAAGGAGGGGGTGGGGAAGAGGCAATGTCTAGACAAGGCTGCTCTTTCCTCCCTGAAATGATGCAATGAGCTTCCCCAGACTCTCATTACACCCCCATCCTTAAATACTCACAGTCTTCATTCAGGTGTTTACATACAAGTGACATCTTCAGACACCAATTGGTCTTCTCTGCTGTGATTGCCTGAACTGGCCACCCTTTCTCATTATCTCCTGGAAATAGAGTTTCACACCTTTTAATTCTTTACTTTTCAAAAACCTTAGTCTTTTTACTCTTGTAACACTTCCTAGGATTTTATTGTGACATTGTCATTTACCATATTTAATACATTATTAAAAACAAAACATCATGAAATTCCTTATGATCCAATAACTTCATTGGTGCCTGAATTGCTGGTTGTCGCACATGGCTACCTCTGGGCTGGGGAGGGGCAGACAGCTGTTCCTCCTGTCACAATTTGCTATTCCTGGGAAATCTCTTTTTAAAATTTGGACACAAGTAAAATAGGGTTTTGCTAATTTAGAGCAAATATGTATTAAATTAGAAAAATCTCATTGTATGAGTGTCCCAATTTAAAATTGAGATTTCACAGAAGTCAAAACTCTGACAAGGTCCAACCCATTTGTCACAACTCCTTACCCCTAGACCGAGGAATGGGAAATTGTGGGTGTAGCAAATGGTGGCAGGACAGCAAAATAAATAAATAAATAAAAAATCTAGGTGTCGGAGGTGTCAGTAACTCCTAGTAGTGGAAAATTGGGATATCAAACAGTTTGTGATGCTTCAGCCCACCCCATTGAGACTGTTTTGTGCCCTGCACGTAGTCACTATAGTGTAACAGGGCCACGGTGATACAGAGAAGATGGTGGCATATTTCCCCCTCATCAGACACCAGGGTCCCCTCCTGTTTGGGTCAGTGGCTGCCCGGCTCAGCTGGGCCCTGGGCTGTGGCTCCAGCTGGAGGTTGGGCGAGGGCAGGTGGGGTTGCTGGGCTCAGTCTCTGTGCTGAGTAGGCTGCTCTGTGTGCAGGATGTGAGGAGGGATGAGGGACCCACCCTGGCCAGGGTCTTGCTGCCCAAGCAGGGTGAGACCTGCAGCAGGCTTTGGAGCAGGTGGTTCAGCAGCCAAGAGATCACATGCTTGCCCATCCCTGAGCAGCTAAGGAGCAGGTTGTGCACTGGATGTAGAGCTGTGGAGCCAGACTCTGCTGGCTGCTGGCTGCAAGAGACACGGCAGAGTCAGAGATGGGGCAGGAAATGGGGGCCCAGAGGTGACGGGACCAGCAGCCATGAGCTGAACCCACCAAACTGCTGGCTGTGATATCACCATCCATCCCTTCAGCCCTTGGTCCAACCCTTCACCCATCCATGCATCCCACTGTCTCTCTGATTGTCTATGCAGTGCCCAGCACAATGAGATCTAAGTAAGGCTTTCGGGTGCTGCAGTAATGGAGCTGTGGGATGATAGTGTGGGTCCGGGCACCTTTAGTCACAGCCTCACTTCTTCTGAGCCCAAAATCTCTACAAAGATGGGGGCGTGGGAGGAGCTGTAGGCCAAAAGCCTAATGGTCGAGAAATTGTCTCGAGTAAATTGTACTCCATTTTGCTTATTTTGTTAGCCTTGAATTAGTAAGAAGAAATTGTTTTGGTTTTATTTTTTGCTTTACGTGTTATTGATTCTTTTTAGAAGGATAGAAGTGTTATGGCTGCTATTCTTGCTTTTGAAATT